TCTTGATGGAATCACTCCTTCTCCCGGATCCGTCTTAGCACAGCGCTAAATAGCGTCAGCGCCAAAACCGAATGTCATATCCATGATCACGGCACCGAACTGCCACGTACAGGCAAAGTTTCAGCAATATTTTCTGAGTTTCTGGAGTAGTAATAGTGCCGAAATTCCTTGCAGAGGCTCGGTTCACGCAAACATTTAGCCCGAAGACACTAGTTTTCTGAATATGAATACCATGTCTGCCTGAAAAGAAGGAGGCCGGGCAACAGGAGAAACAGGCCAGCTTTGGCGTTGGCGCCCGCTCCTGTTGCATAGGTGTGAGACGCTTTCGCCACAACTTGATAAGAAGTCCGTTACATACGTAAAGCTACCCGGTGGGGAGATTTCTTGCTAAATTCACCCACCGGAAGAAATATCGATTAAAATCTGTCTTCAGTTGCGAATAATGCTTCAGAAAAGACTAGATCGTGCCAATTTTTGCCTTCCAGACGTTCGTCTGCATGCCCGATGTGAGCACGAGCGATGGCGAAGCGGCAGTACTGCTGTTGCGGCGGCCATAGATCCGAAGAGTATGGTCATCGCATGGGTAGGAGATTCAGCGGCATACGTGCTTTCGTCAGAAAGTAATCTTCTAAAGATTACTAACGCACATGTACCGACAAATGAGGTCTGTTTGATTGCACTTTTTCTTCACCGTTTCTAACATCATGTCGAAAACGTACTGTAGACTAGATTGAACTCTACCTGTTCAAGTAACTTCAGTGCGCATTGATGTTCAGGAGGAAGCGCGACGTGTTGAGCAAGATGGAGGTCAATTGTTGTATATTCAAGGGGAACTCAGGGTCAATGGTGTACTGAACTTGACAAGAGCTTTAGGTAAGATCCACTTCAATTCGGCATGACTTGTATTTGGTTCATTCGCTGAGGTTTAGGTGATATCGGTGGACGACCAATGATTAGTCCAAAAGCCGATACTGTGGTACTAGAACGAGATGTTTCGCAGTATCTGCTACTTCTCACTTGCGACGGGATTTCAGAGCTTTTTAGTGATTCCGAGGTGCTGGATATGATCAAGTCATTCGTAGCTAAGCATAGTTCCAAAAGTAAGTTTGCTGTTATTTGCTTTTTCATTGCTAATTCTTTTTTTTATACTGCGCTTCTCATGACGAATGTCTGCCTCATCACCTGTTTTTCTAAACATAAAGTTCATTAAGCTCACTGATGTGTGCTTTGTAAGGTTGACGGGGAAGTTTTCTCTTTCGAGACCATGCTTCATTACTGTAGAAATGAAAGAAAAAGAAATGTGAGACCAGTGCTATTGCGGGGGTATGTAGCAAGAGAATCGTAATTCGCCGCGCCAGTGGGCGTCGCGTGCGACGTCGCGCCCGCTAATGACGACGATTTTAGGTGGTATTGGTCGAGAATAGACAATGTATGACCAAAAATAGACATAAGTGTCTACCATGTCCTTGTCTACATGAAATCCGATGCTCCAATCGAAAGGGTAGTGCAAATTAAGGAAACGTCGCGCCCATTGCCGCGCGCGACGAAGCGGCAATTTACGGTCCTCTAGCCCGTCTCCCCTATTGCGCGATCCTGTGATAATCACAACGAGAGGTCGTATTTGACCGCGAGGGAGGGGTCGTATTGGCCGTTGTTGACAGAGGGACTGCCAAAGATCTATACAACTACTATTTCCGGTAGTTTAAAATGATAGCTGAATCGTGACGACCTCCTCCCCCCAAATTCTTGGCTGAAAAACTGGAAACTTTTCGGGAAAAAAATGGAAAAAGTGGTAGGAAGTTGGGAAAATCTAGGAAAGGTGGTAGGTAGCAAGAGGAAGGAGGGTCGTATTTTTCAGGAAATGATCAGAACGCGATGGCGTGTTCTGCCTAGCCAGCGTATAGGCATCTCATAAATACCACCGCTAAGCAATATAGAATGACGCAATGCAGAGACGGGCGTCACCTCGCTTTTGACTTGTAAAGCTTTAATCGTCCATGTAACGAGTTTCCAAAGAAAATTTGTACTCAAACGGAACTATGCATGAGCTATACGGGGGATGAGAAGGAGCCAACCAGAGATCGCTAGTGATGGCGGCTTCCTCCAATTCCGCTACTCCGTGAGTTCGCTGGTCATTGTGTGAGGTATTCTATACGTAGCATTGTAGAAACAATCAAAACAACCAGATGTTTTGGCTCTGTCGCCTTCGTAAGAACCTAGAAAGTCAAGGATAGTCGTAGTCTATCACCAAGAACTGATTTACAACATCTTGGTTATTTAAGGCTACATACTACATAGAAGGATGAGTTCCTTCACCCACCAGTTTTGCAGGTCGCGGTTCTTCAACTAGAAATCGGGATCTCATTTTGGCCCAAATGACCATTCTCGCGATTAAATGCTACGATTAGTCGGCGTTCAGTTATGGACCAGCAGCCGATAAGTGACTTTCTTGTAGAGGGAGGAGAAAACGTACATGGAAAACACCTCAAATGAAACCCCTCCATGCAGTCCCACAGCCTCTTGTACGAGTTCCCCGGACTTGCTGATGACTCGACACCCTGCAGCCACACTAGA